ACTTTCTTAATATGGATAAAAGTCAACACCTAAATGTGTTTTGTTAAAAATCATAAGAACCAGCTCTTATGTTTTAAGTCATATTATTTTAAGTGTATGCATTTAATGTAGAATTTCATGTAGAGCATTATTATTTCTTTTTAATATTTTGTTTTCCTAGTGTTGATAGTTTGGTTAGAATGGTTAATAAATTTCTCAAGTTACAAGAGCAACTTCTTAATGGAAATTAGTAATTCTGTTTCATAAAGGTGTTAATACTTAGTATCAAGAAAAATAGCCAAAGCCAAAATTGTTACCAATCAAGTATCCTAAGCGTCATTAGTATAACTGAAGGGAAGCGAAAATATTGGGAAAACTTGAATCCTATTTCAGTTCAGAGTTGATAAATTCTATACCTAGAGCCCAAGTACTTTCCCCAGTATTAAGTAAGTAGAATATAAGATTATAAACTTCTCTGAAACAATGTAGGGCAGATTCCCTTCCTAGTGTACCAGAGGAGGGGAAAATACTGTGTTGTATTATTTTTCAGCACAATGTATCTTAGACTAAGTAAATGTTTTTTAAATAAATATGATTTTCAAATAAAACTTGAAAAATTAATAGTCTTTCCCCTAAAGTCACTACAACATGCCAGTTTTTCTTACACAATATTATTTGTGAGGAATGCCTTGTTTTCTTTCAGTGTTTATAGGTTCTATTTTTATCTTAGAAAAAAATGCATTTGCCTTTTATAGGAGTTAAGACCAAGGAATTCTCCCATGGTAACATGGTTTTTTATTTCATTTTCATTTTTACTTCTTAATATATAACTTTCATATATGCCTTAGAATTTGGAAATGGAGTTTTACATTGTTTCTCTGAGACTAAAACTGAAATAACAGGGGCTAGCAGGTGACGTGGTAGTTAGGGCACTGGATTCCACATTACTGGCTGTTGTTTTAGAACCTGAACCTGGTGGCTTACTTTCTCATTTTCCCTCTCTCTCTCTTTCTCTGGTTAGCACATGTGCCCTATAGCAAATTTAAAAAGTTATGACAATAATAATAGCATTAAATTAAATATAATAAATAAAAAAAAGAAATAAAATAACAATATAGTCACACTATGTCTCCGACAATTTTATTTTTGTTTTTTTTGATAGTTGATTTTTATTTACCTATTGATAAAGGAGGGTCTTAAACTTAAGTTTACGTTTGTACCATTTCCTTTGATAATCTAAACTGTTTTTTTAAGAGAGAGTTTATTTAATTTATTTATTTTTTGCTATAAGGTATGTGTGCTCGCCAGAGAGACAGAGAGAAAGTGAGAAATCGCCCCCCAGGGGGCATGCCCACACCACAGTCCTTTCTCTATTCTTCTCTCAGGATTTCTGGTGCTCATACACAGAAGCCTGGCATGTTTCAAGCCCAGAGGCCCAGGACTCAAACCATGGTCATCCGTGTGGGAGTCCAGCACCATAATCACTACACCACCTGCTGGCCCCAAAGGTCACCTACTTTACACAGTGTTACCCTCCTTTGAAATACTGGGTAGTGGGGGAAGTCATGATGCATTTTTGCATACAAAAACATGTCATGACTTTCTTGATGACCTAGTACATTGTGAGGAATCTATAATTTGATGAAGGAATAATTAATTAATTTGTTTATTTATTATTTTTATTTTAACCAGAGAGAGACAGAGATAGAGAGAGGGAAAATGAGAAAGCAAGTTGCCAGGTGCGAGACTTAAACCATAGTCAGATGTGGGAGTCCAGCACCTTAACCTCCACATTACCTGATGACCCCAAAAATCTGTAAATATTAACAATAACGAAAGCTATCTCTTTTATTCACTGTAAAAGGTGGTGGTGAAACTTCCTCACTTGAAATATTTATTTTTTTCTAGAAATCTGGTAGTATTATTTGATAATTGCTTTCTATACTTAAAGCCTTTGCTATTTTTTGATAATTGCTTTCTATACTTAAAGCCTTTGCTCTCTTGCTGAGTAAAATGCTATTTTATCCCCTATTAGAAAATTCAAGCTGTCATTATAGAATGTGTAAGTGTGATATTTAATATTCTATTAAATTTTATAAGAATATATTTGCAAAAAAATCTTATTATGGATATTTGTTAACTGACAAATGTTGTGTTTTATCCACTACCCTTAAGTCAAGGTAATTGGTAGTATATTCACATATTTCACACACAGAGAAGTTTTCAGCTGCTAAAATTAATTGAATTTCATTTGATATTTAATCACTCAGAAGAGCGTTTGCGTCATTCTGAAACTTCTAAATCATACAAAAATGTGTAAAATAGGGAGAAAATGTCTCAAATTGGGGGAAAAGTTTTTTAATTAGAAAATGATAGATATAAACTAACATTTTAACTATGATGCGGAAATCTGTGTATCCAGAATTTTTCCTAAGTAATTATATTCTCACTTATTAGTATTAAATAAATATTAGCACTTCAAGTTGAATTCAGCTTTAGAAACTATTAGTAATAATTATTTTTGTTTTTCTCTCTTCATAGACACATTATTACCATTCCTTAGTAGAGGGAATTAGTTTAATTGGGGAGAGTCCTAGGACATGATCCTGGAGTTAAAAGTAATTAATGAGTTAGTAGGTCCCAAAATGAAGCTCTGTTTTTTATTCACTGGAAGTCAGAGGTTTTGTATTCTGTCAGTGATTATGACTATTCTATGACTTCAGGAAGCCTTTCTTTATTAGATGCTTTATTACTACTTATTAGTAACAAATGCTATCACTAAAACAGTTATTCGCTAAGTGTGTTTTTGCATCAGTTGCGTTAGCACCACCAGAGAATTTGTTACACATGGAAATTCTTACAGTACATTCAGACCTGCTGATTCAGAAACTGTGAGGTGGGAGGACTAGCAGTTGGCATAATGGCCATGTTCCTGGACTCCCATGTGGTCTACCATGATTTGAGTCCCGGACCTGGTGGCTTAAACTCACGCCGGGCACGTGTGCGTGCTTGCCCAAGATCCCGAGAGGAGAATGGAAGAGAAGGGATTGCGGCGTGACCATACCCCCAAGGGGAGGGTGTGATTTATTGCTTTCTGTCTCTTTCTGTCTTTCTGTCTCTGTTCTTCTGGCCAGTGCATGCGCCCTATAGCAAAAACCTCTCCATAAATAAATAAATAAATAAATAAATAAATGAATGAATGAATGAATGAATGAATGAATGAATGAATGAAACTGCAGGATGGATGAACCTTATAGTTCAAATGGCCCTCACTGTGATTCTGATCCACAAATAAAGCTTGAGAACCACTGTCTTAAAGTAAGTGATTACTTCAGAAATAAGGAGAATATTGAGAACTCTTTGTCTTCAGTGTATCTGCCACACACCGCCCAAGTTTCTTTTTCTTGCCTAAAGTTGCTCCACCAGATATTCTCTCTAAGCAGTGTGGAGGTGATTATATCTGAGTTTCCTCCATGTTTTCTCCTTTCTCTAAAGCTGTTGACTCAAATAAGAGAAGACAAAATGAAGTAGAAGTGCTAATGCTGAGGTTTTGAGTGCCCTGAGATTCAGAACATGCTTTTTTCAAGTTAGGAAATAAGACTTCTTTCCTAATCCTTACATAATCCCTTAGAAAAGTTAAAAAAGATGCTTGAGTTTAATTTTTATCTATTAGTAATATATTGTAAGTTATTCTAAGGTTAATTATATATTTTGTATGGAAGGTGCTAATACTTTTATTTTGAAGCATTGTTTAGTTCATTAATGTTCAAATCTTCCATGTAGAAAATATGTGTCCATCTAACATATTATATTGATTATGATTTTGTTTTAATGTGTCAGAGTCACATTTTGTAAGAGTAAATATGGGAGTGTTTCAAAGCACTGTTACTAAAGTAAACAGTGTTGACCTCTTGCTGTGTCCCAACTTTGCATGCCTTAGTTTATTTATCCTCAGTGGTCAGGTACTGTGATAGTATTTATTTTGAAGGCATGAAACCCTAATGTGCCTATGGTCCTTAGGTAGCAAATAATAGAGCCAAGAGTCCAGTCCAAGTGGTCTTATTTCAAAGCACTCAGTTCTAGAAGAGACAGATCCATTACCTAGTTATTCATTTGTTTGAATAGAAAGATTTTCTTCACCTATTTTTTTCTTTTACATACACCATTCAAGGTATTTTTCACAATGATAAATAGTACTTGGGTAATGCCATTAACTTAAAATTTAGTAATGAACAATATAAATAATAATGCAGGGATTTATACAAGTATTATGGACTTTTGACATGGAAAATACTTTGGTTTGGCAAAGCAATTTGACTATATTACATGAATTCCAGTTATTTCCTTATTTGTTCACTTTTCAGGAATTACCTCCTTGAGAGCAAGAGTTAAATTCTTTTTTTTTTTTTTTTTTTTGAGATTTTTGCTATAGGACACTTGTGCTTACTGGAGAGACAGAGAGACAGAAAGCAAGAAATCACCCCATCCCAAGGGGGATAGCCACACCTCAGTCCCTTCTCCTTCAGTCTCCTCTCAGGATTTTGGGCATGCACACACATGTGCCTGGCATGAGTTTTAAGTCACAGAGTTTGGGACTCAAATCACAGTCAACTACATGGAAGTCCAGTGACATAACCAATATGCCATCTGCTGGTCCCAAGAGTGAAATTCTTTGTGACTGGCACAGTGACCCATTATAGAAGGTTTCTTTGGTGGATAGATAGGTGGATGTATATGAGAAAACTTTCCTGACACTTCTAGAGCTATCCATGTAGTCTGTGACCCTGGCAGGTTTAAGAACTTCAGTTCCTTCTACAGTGTAGTTATTCTATTTATCTGTAATCTGAGTAGCCTTATGATGGAATGCACATTTGCACAGGTGTCTCTTCTACAAGAAGCTTGTTATTATTTCATGGGCTATAATTGGATTTTTATGATTTTTAAAGATTTTAACTTAGAAGTAAAGTTTGACAATTTATATCGAGTTATATTTATTAGTGTTTATGTCTTAATTTCAACAGCATCACTGCAAAACTTGAAAGAGCTTTAGAAAAAGTTGCTCCTCTTCTTCGTGAGATTTTTGTAGACTTTGCCCCATTCCTATCTCGTACACTTCTTGGCAGTCATGGACAAGAGCTATTGATAGAAGGTATGATTTCTCTCTCTACTATTTTTAGTTTCCTGTAATATATCTATTTATCATGGCATAATGTGTGCTTCTGGAAGAATATATATTGCTAAAAGAATGTGAAGACATTACTTCTATAAATTCTAATAAGTTTCTCGATATATGCTTTCTTCTTATTTTTAAAAATCATCTTTGTACAGTCAATCCCAACAACAAAATTTTGAAAACAAAGAACTTTGAAAGGGTGTTAGAATGGGAAGCTCTGGCTTTTTAAAATTCAGTCTATCAGGGCTTAGGATCTTCTCACTAGGATGTGGTAATCTCTACAATTTCTTTCTAACTCAAAGAGCCATCCTTCGTTAAGTGGCTTTTTTTATTCACATAACATTTGTAATGTGAGAATTCTTACCTGAGAGAACATTAAAAATATAGAGAAATACTTAACTGGGAACTGATGATGCTGCATCATCTACTCAACAGCTCTTTAAAGGGAGTGAGTATATACCAAGAAGAGAAGTTCATTGCGGTGAAGATTTAATTTATACACCTGTATGAGGAGAGTGGCTTTGAAAAATATGGTTAATTGAAATCTTATTTATTTCAAAACAAAGTTTTATGCATGAAATTCAGAAAGAGACAATCAATATATATGTGATTGTGTATGTGAATAATTGCTTTCAGTATCATTTTAGGTGGTCCTTGGGGTTAGCTGCCTTGTACACTGTCTTGTTTTTGGTTTTCCCCACATCCTGTTTATTATAGAAGCAAGCAACTTTTCCTATGGCTTATCTGTTTTGTCAACTGCTTCTACACAATGTTTCAATTATGGAAGATAATAACTTAACAATTCTGCCTCTGGGAGCTGAGTTTTAATCATAATTTTAATAGTTCCTTAGTTTTATGGCCTTTTTGAGTTATTCAGCTATTGTATATCTTAGTTTCTTTTCTATAAAATGAAGTCAATAATAGCACTTTGGGTTCTTATAAGGATTAAATTGTATAATGCATATAAAACTGTTATAAATGGCATATAGTCGGCAACTAATACTTTTAAAAATACTGAGTTACCACTCTGAGCTGAGTACTAGGATAGTAATTGGAATATATTATTTAATAGTAGACAAAGATCCCTGACTTTGTGGCACTTATATTTTAGCAAGGATAGACATTAAATAGCATTAACCAAAAGAAATAATCAAATTATACAGCATGTTAGAAGATAGTGACTGCTATGTAAAAGAATAAAAACAACCCAGGGGATAGGTGTTACTCAATGAGGATGTAGAGTTACAGAGTTAGGATGTAGTATTAAAGAGGGTGGTCCATTTTACATAGGCCTCAGGATAAAAGTTATATTTGAGCAAAAACTTAAAAGGAAGTGAGCCATACTTACTAGAGAAGTTCTAGGCATTGAGTGTAGTCAGTGCATTGACCCTAACGTGGGAATAGAAGGGCATTCTGGGCATGACTACAGAATAGGAAAAATGCTAGTGTCATGTCACTCGAAGAAGTGAACCAAAAGAGAATAGTTGGATGTTAGGCTGAGGGAGATAACAGGGTATTTATATTTAATTTGAGTGGTATGGAGAGACTGTTGCAGTTTTGAGAAGAGTCAGGATGTCACTGTGGATGCTATTGGGTGTCTTTGTTATCATTAATGCGTTCACCTACAAAGCAAAGTAGAAATGTTCCAAAGAATAGAACTTAGATGAATGACATTGACTTAAAGCAGCCTAAAAATGAAAAGTTCTTAAAAACGTAAAATCAATTTCATGACCAGAAATTGTCTGTAATTTGAATAGTGTTGTTCTAGATGTGTATGATTGATTATATAATGCTACATTGTCATTTACTCATTCAGTAAAGAAGACAAATTTGCATCTTTACTGCCAGGATTAAAAAGACATAGTCATTACCTCCAATATCTTATAGTCTAATGAGCAGATTGCCATAAAAATATTAATTAAAGTTGAAAATAATATATATATTGTATCGAAACTATATACAAACTATAGCAAGAAGCGAAACTGAATAGCTTACTGATAACTTTTCAGGATAGTCATTCCCTTCTAACTTGATCAATAAAGTAGTTATGGGTAGCTGGTCTTCTTGCCTACTCCTTGAAACACTCCCTTCCTTGTCTTTTTAAGGACCTTCATTTTTATTTTTTTGACACTCATTTTTAAAAGGATAGTTCGGGGCTGGCCCTATGGCTTTGTGGTTAAGGGAGCTGGATCCCACATGGCTAATGGCACGGCTTGAGACCCAGCCCTGTTGGCTTGTAAAATATGCCAGTGGGACCATCTCTGTGTGCATGTGTGTGTGCTTCAAACCCCAGCAGGTTGAAGAAATGGAAGAGGGATTGTGGCACATGACTGTGTCCCATTGAGGGATTCTTTCTTACTTTTCCTTTATCTCTGACTCTTTCTCTCTCTGGCAAGTACATGTGTCCTATGGTAAATTTAAAATATAAATAAAATAATAATAGGATAGTTTGTGTTGCCTGCTTCTACCTAACTCTAGTAGCAGCTCAACCAGTTTTTTAAGTTCTGGGCAGATTCCCTAGTCTGAGCATCTCCATCTGTCAATATTTCAATCTCCGTTCATCTGAAAATGTATGCATCCTTTTCATCAAATTGCATATTCTCCTAAATTTATCTGTTTTGATATTGATGTCTCTATTAATGTAAAAGATAAAAATGTGGTAAAATCTGATTTTTCTTTAGCTCTTTTCTCTCTCAACTTTAATATTTACAATGATTTGATGAGAGTAATTTCTGGAAACAATATTAATTTGGCACCTAGTTCTCTAAATATTATTAGTATGAATATTATTGTCAATCCATTTAAAATATTCTAAGGTAGCATAAACTTTATGCTAGCTAAAAGTGAGAAATCATAGTTATGGATTACATACTAGATTATTGGTTATTGTTTCTTTTTAAAAATGTATTTAATTGCCGGAGGACCTCTCTGTAGAGAGAGAGAAGGAGAGGGAAAGCAAGCACCTCCCAATGGGTGATGGTCATGCTGTGATCCTTTTACCTCCATTTCTTCACCCTGTCAGTATTTGAGGCAAACATGCACATGTGCCTGGCATGTTTTTCAAGCCTCTGGAGCCACAGTATCAACCATGGTTGACAAGTGGGATCCAGCTGCGAGCACACAGGAGTTAGCACTAAGTAAGGAGTTAGCCCTAAGGAGTTAGCACTAAGGAGTTAGCCCTCAATTAGTTCTCTCACAATTGGCTTATAACCTTACTTTCCAAATTCAACTAGTCTTTATCCTCTCTCTGTAGAAGATACTCCTTAAACATGTGAACAGTTACATACTATCCCATTGTCCTTATTTTTGTACCACTCTTCTTTCTGCATGGAATCCTTTGCCTTTACTTTTTTACCCTAAATTATACAAATCCTTTGAATTATGTTAAATTCAGTCTCCTTAAGCTAAATCAGTGTTTATTTTCTTTGCTCATGTGGTATTCTGTTTATATAATGTTAATAAAATAAGTTTTCACTGTTATAAATAAAAGTATCTTATTGTTTATATTGCCACTGTCTACCTTGTATTATAGTACATAATAGATATTTGGGGTCTGGCCTCCTACCCTAGTGTTTAAGGGAGTTCCATCTCATATAACTGACCCTGGTTCAGATCCTGGCCCCAGCAAATTAAAAAAAAAAAAAAAAAAAAAAAAAAAAAGCATGCCAGGTATGTGCATACAGGCCCCGAATCCCAACATGATGAAAAATGGAAGAGGAGGGATTGGGATGTAACCACATCCCATGGCAGGGCGGGGGGTATTTTTCTCTTCCTC